GAAATGCTTGTTGCAAAGAGTTCCCGCCATTTGTGTGCTAATTCGAGTCCCATTATTGGCCAGTTCTAAATTATTCACACGTGGCGGCTAGTGATTGGCTTGCTAGCCGTATAAGAGGCTTGAGTGGTTTCCGCCCAAGTTGGAGGACTCCACGAACAAGGGAGGAGGAGACTTCACGCTGTGTAAAGATCTCTAAGCGCTGCGGATCCTTACGGACCCAGTGCATTTAAAGCAGGCAACAGAGGTCTGATCAACCTCTAGCCGCTCCCCGTCGCCGATAGATTCCTAGACGTATCCCTTCCCGCGCGCAAGAGAACCGAACCCACGGAGCCTAGCAAACTTCGTGTGAATGAGTGAGCAGAAGAACCCACGGAGCCTAGCAAACTTCGTGTGAGTTTATTCAGAGCTCTTCCGGACGAGTACTTTCTTCAGCTGACACGACGGGCTCGCGTGTTCAGAGCCTTCAGCCGGATTGGGCTAGAGTTCACGAGTCTAGAACTTTTGTCCGCCTCTCTTCTTTCCTGTCTGTAACCGCAACTTAAGCAAGTTTTCAGCCTGCACCACTGTCATCTCGGTGTAAGTAAACCATCTTTTAAACTACCGATACGCGTCTGTGCCTAATTCCAGCTCCAAGGCCTTCCCTCTCCGACCCGGCGTGCCCGGGCTGCTGGCCACAGCCCGCGTGCAGCGCAGAAAAGGGCTCGGGTCGCTCCCGGCCTGCACAAGGGCCACACTCCCCCCACTACAGAGGAAGGCAAAACCACCCCCACAGTTTGGACCAATCTGACCACGGGGTCAAATTCCTTCCTAACCCCAAAATGCCTTAGCACACCAGTTACTAACCTTTGACCTCCACTCCTATCCCCGTTTTCATTATTTGTCCCAAGTAATCTGTAACATGTCATTAATGGCCCCCAGTATTAAAGGGGCTTATATTTTCCCTGGCAGGCCTGTGATTTTCCTGGACATATTAAAAGTCCTGATCCCCAACTCAGGCGATTGACTGTTCTGACCCTGAATGGACAGACAAGACCCAGTAGCCAGGAACCTCGGGCTCTGGTTTCAGCAGCAGCACTGGCACAGCCCAGTCAAAATCCCTAGCTGCAGCCAACACCCAAACCCTGTGGTGAAGGCTTAAAAACGCCCCCCAAACCCCAAACAAGATGAAATGTGGCACCCAGGCAAATGTAAACCAGGTTCTCTACTGTCCTTCAGCTGTGTAACAATGTGGCTACTATACATGTTGTCCTGTATTTCTCGTAATTATACTGTACCATGCAAAACATGTCAATTAATGTTTTTTTTCCAATGTGTGTTGCTCTGTGTGTGAAGGGGTGGGTGTGTGCATGCGTGTGTGGGGGTGCAATTCCCCCCCCCCCCCTTGCAGCCACCAGCAAAAAACATATATCATATCATAAAAGTAGGACTGGAAGAGACTTCAAGAGGCAGGAAAAGCCCAGCAGCCCCATATGGGGATCGAATCCTCCATCCAGCTGCTTTTAGTAACGCTCTCCAAATAGCCCCAGCCGAAGGACCGCCCCCCAATTCGGCCCTGCGCATGCGCTGCTCCCCACCCCCCGACGCCTGTGCGCGTGCGCACCAGTGGGGAAAGGGGTGTGGCGCACCCTGACTGGGGTTCTGCGCCGCGCGCTCCCAGGAGGCAAGGGCACCCCCAGGGGGCGGGGGGGGGGGGGGGGGGGGGACTCACAGTAGTACGCCACGACGGGCTCCCGCTTGTCCAGCTCCTGCCCGGCGGGCAGGTGGTGCTGCATGCTCTTGAACTGCGGGGGCAGCGCGGGCAGGGCCGCGGCCGCCATGACGCGCCGGGCCGGACCCGCCGCAGCAGCAAGAAGAGTAAAGCCAACAACAACAGTCCCCTCCCCCACTCCGCGCCGGCAGAGTCCTGTCTGGCTGCTGCTGACCTCGGGGAGTCACTTCCGCTTCCGGGCCAACAACACCTCCTCCCTCCCCCTGCGCATGCGTGCTTAAGGTGCGGCAGGAGAGCGGCGTCTGCAGCAGCGACCTCTGTTGAGCGGGAGGGCCAAAGCGAGGCTGGTCAGCCAGGGACGGGAGAGGCGGGGGAAGGGGAGGCCTCTCAGGGAGGCGGAGGTTCGAGTCCCGCTTGTGGCGCTCTGGCTCCCGGCCTCGGTGGGATTGGTGTTGCCCAGTTGCGAGCTCTGCTGGGCCTTCCCGGGCCGGGCCTGCAGCCGTCTGTCCCCTGTGGAAATCCGCAACTCCTGCAGACGGATCTGTGGCTCAAGGATTGAACTCTGAAGTCAACTCAAGACCCAGACATGAGCCATGGTAAAAATCATCCTCAAATCGAGGGGTTGCCAACAATCAGTTAGATAGGACAACTGCCCCGCAAACCCAACCTGGCCATTGACCCAAGTAATGTGCATCCCATGAAGGAGCTACACATCTACTTTGAAGCAGGCCTGCACTGCAAGTTTTCAAGCCCTGCCCATGTCCGCTATCATGGGGACTGAGTTGTCAAAACAAAATTTGGAGGGGGCCTGCCTATGCAAGAAATAGCCCTCATAAGTCACTTCAAGAGCAATTGCTTTTGTCTGCGGTCCACTGTCTTCTCAAGTCC